TGGACCATGATGATAGTCCTATGTTGGAACCACTGATATTCTATGTTGGACCATGTTGATAAGTCTATGTGGCACCATGATCATAGACCTATGTTAGGACCATGAATGATAGTCTATGTTGGACCAATGAAGATAGCTTACTCATGTGGATCCAGGATGAAAGTCCTATGTTGGACCGATTATAGTCTATGTACATGGACCACATGCTATGATAGTGTAACATGTTTGACCATGATGATAGCCTATGTTGGACGCTGATGATAGTCCTAATGTTGGCGACCAAAGGATGATGGTCTATGTTAGACACATTAGCCTATGTTTGGACCATATGATATCTATGTTCGTCCCATGATACAGTCTATGGTTTGGACCATGCGATGATAGTTTATGTTGGACCAATGAACTACACTATCTGTGGAGAACCCATGAATGCGATAGTCCTAATGTCTGGACCAGATAGTCCTATGTGACACCATGATGATAGTTAACTTTGGAACCGATGATAACTAAGATGGACCTTGATGATAGTCTATGTCTTGGTACCAGATATTCTATGTTGACCATGATGAATAGTCTATGTTGACCATATGTAGCCTATGTTTGCAACCATGATATAGTCCTATGTTAGGACCATGAATGATAGTCTATGTTTGGACCATGATGATACTATGACTATGATTGATAGTCTACTGTTTTGGACCATGATGATAGTCCTATGTTGGAACCATGATATACTATGTTGGTCTCCATGAATGATGATCAGTCTTCATATGATAGATAGTCTCTATGTTGAACCATGATGATAGACTATGTTGCACTCTATGATGAATAGTTTACATGTTGGACCAGATGAAAATCTACTATGTTGGATGCGGACCATGATTTTTAGTCTAGTTGCACCATGAGATAATCAATGTCTTGGAACCATGATGATATCCCTTGTTGGCCCATGATGATAGCCTATGTTGGACCATGATGACAGTCCTACTATGTTGGACCACTTATGAGGATAAGTCTAATGTGGACCAATGATGAAACCCTATGTTGGAACATGAAGTCTATGTTGGACCATGATGATAGTCTATAGTTGGACCCCATGACTGATAGTCTATGATTGGACCCTGATGATACCTGGACAAGAGTTTCGGGGTCAACGCTCCTGCGGCCCAGTCTGTGACCAGGCCTCATGGCTGGATCAGGGCTCTGCATTAAACAGGTCTAGTTAATGCTGGCCGCAGCGCCAACCCCGACGTACGAACAACATCCCTGCTGTCAATGGTACCCGACTTTAGGTGCTTGGTCCCAGTGACTTCTTGACAGCGACACCATGGGTCTATTGTAACACACCCCCCTTATGCTATGCTGGCGAGGTCAGAACAGATCAGTCTCGGATCACTCTGACATTATTGTGTTTGTCTCTTAACGTGTTATTGACCACCCCTGACGCTTTCATTGAGGGGATGGTGGCATCGTCTCTGCAGAGACTTTTTGCTTTCTGTTGTGAGTTGATTTTCGTGTGGTCACACTGTCTCGGTACTATTCCCTCTAGAGATTTTTTTTTTTATTTCCCAATGCTATATAATCATGTATCATCTTCACGCCCATGCATTCCAGGATACAGAGTTCAGGACACTTCAAAGTGCATCCCCAGTAATTGACGTGTTTTTTATCTCCGTTATGCGCGCCGTGAAGGTTCTCTGCTACATTTTTCTAGGTCAGAAATTTTTCACGCTGCCTTGGAAAAGGTGGTGTATAGTGTGCAAGCACATCATTCCGCCTAGATAGACAAGCGACCTGAAGACAGTGTCTACTCACAGGGCCTTGGTCATCCCAAGTTTTGAAGGTTCTCATTATCCATACCTGACCATTTTTCTAGGCAGATACGATGCGCGCATTGATATTACAATGTTCATGGTCCTTGAAGGTGACAGATCCCCTCCGACATGATCACTCCAACACGTCCTTTTGACGTTTGGTGTTTCAGTTCCGCTCTATTTTGTGGTTGGACATTTGTTTTAAACTTCGATGAAGTTTAATTTTCTCCCATCCATTTTCCACATATCGAGTAATTGCGAAATCTTCTCATCACTGACTTCATATTTGTTTTCGAGACAGCCCCATTTAAATATTTGGTTCTGACATGTCCCACTCTGGAGCCTTGCAGTTGACCTCTGCACATGGAGAGAATACCTGTCATGCAAATTCCGTGGTGTCACTACGCAAGGAAGACATCGATGCTGTGGCTGACAAATCCTGTCTATGCAGATATGAGGATGAGGAACATCAACGACGAGGGAACTGTACGTGTCTTGTTACACCAGAGCTGTTCACACGGTAGCAGCCCTCAACTATATCTCTGTTACTTACAACACACTCCTTTGTGTTCCTATATGTTTAGGAAATTATTGCATCCATCTACCAACTTTTCTTTATTCCTTTATCACGCCTTCTGTGCGTCTACTTACGGCCATGGTCACACTTGTCGAAAGCTTCTATTGCAAAGTCTGTCTTGTGTTACAATTACTGAATACTGTTTGTCTTCTAGAGCCATCCCAGGACTTGTCATAGTGATCCAGTAGTTGGCCGAGCAGGAGAACGACCTGCTCAACACCTAAACGCCACAGCGCACCTGGGTTGTGTAACTTGATGGGTATCTACGATGTGGCTCGCGATCTTAGCTTCATTAAACCCTTTCAAAGATTTTTATGATTGTACGTTAGCGCTATCGGTCTGTAGTTCTTTGATATTGCATTATACTGCCACCTTTGTGGATAGTGGGGACTACGACTGAGTTCTTTTTTACGCTAGCTGTGGGACGACCCCCGTGTCCATGTTCTTACCGCTACCCTCTTTCTCACGGATGTTAAAACCTTATGATAGAGGGCTATCTTGCAGTTCTTGAATAAGCACAGAGTTCAATGAGTCGCCCTGGGGGCAGAGTGCATGGCCATGTCATTTATCGCCTTTTCGATGTCCTCTTGACTGTCATTACCACAATAATGTGGGGCTTCCCACTCTGCTGGCAGCTAACCTGAAGGCGTCCACCTTGGTCCTACTGGCGCTTGCGTCTGGAGTCCTCACTCTGGATCAACTGGAGCGTGCTGGAGCCCAATCTGGTCTACTGGAACTCTAGCCTACAGGTCCACCCTAGTCCCTACTGGAGCTTTGCCTGGAGGTCCACCTTGTCTACTGTAGCTAAGCTGAAGGTCCATCCCTAGTCTACCCACAGCTTGCGTGTAGTCCACCTGGTCTACTGGTAGCGCTTGCCTGAAGGTCCAACCTGTCTATACTGGAAGAGCCTTGCCTGAGGCCCACCTGGTCTCCTAGGGAACTGTGAGAGGACTAACTGGGTCTACTGGAACTTCGGTGAGGGGTCCAACTGGCTTACGTAGCTTCGTGTGAGCATATGTCCACTACTGGTCTACTGGAACTTGGTGAGGGGACCACCTGGTCTACTGTGAACTTGGTGCGAGGGGACCACCTGGTCTACTGGATCTTGGTGCAGGGGTCCACCTGGTTCTACATGGAACAATGGTGAGGGAACACCCTGGTTCTACTGAACAGGCAGGTGCAGGGCCGTATTAGAAGTCTCCGCCCTAGGCTATTCAATTCGGTGGGTGCCCCCTTGTGGTTACGGTAAGCGAAGCGAACCATACTTCCATCTGTGGGGTTGGGAGGGGGGTCGGTGTGAGCCTGTTAAAGGTCAAATTAATACATTCTGGATATTTCGATTAAATTAATAGGTACAAGGCTACACTCAAGACAACCAAAACCATTTACCAACTAGCACCATTTATAACTATCTTGTTAAATCATGCCATTTTTTAAAATGAGAATAAACTCAAGAACAGATAGAATTACTAAGATTAGGCTATACAAAGTAGGACCATCATGTACCCTATTACTATTCAGCATAACACTACAGCACTATTATTTCCCGTTATAAATCACTGACCATTTTCTTGTTATCAATGGCATCATGCATCAAGACATCAAAATCATCACATAACTACTCAGAAAATTGGAGAGGAATTCTCCCATACTCAACCCTATTAGCGGGAAAACACACAGCTGTTTTCTGATGTAGCACAAAAGACAGTGTAGATGATCCTTCTTCTTTGCCAATCTATGAGTTCGGTTTTATTTAATTATATATTATTTTATCTTCATATAATTTTTGTTTTGATTTAATTTTAAAAAATCAATTTTACCTGGTCCAAACACTTGAACTTTTTTAGGTAAGGGAGACCCCTTTGCCACTTGCACCATGTGTGCAGTCTTGGATGAGCCCCTGAACCCCTGGACCGCCGGGCCCTACCAAATGCAGCGGAGGCCCCAAGGCAAATGCCTAGTTGCTATGCGGTAATCCGGCGGCCTGGGTGAGGCGTCCACCTGTCTCTACTTGAAACACATGGCGAGGTTCCAACCTCTCTACTGAAACATGTTACAGGGTCCCCTGGTCGTATCTGGAACAATGGTGATATTCCACCTGGTCTATACTGGAACTGGTGATGAATGTCCACCTGGACTACTGGAACTATGTTGAGATGCGTCCACACTCGGACCTAACTGAACTACTGGCGTGAGGGGGTCCACCTGTCTACTGGACAACTTGGTAATATGCTCCACCTGGGTTCTCAAAGGAATTGGTGCGAGTATGTCCACCTGTCTACTGGAACTTGGTGAGGGCCACCTGTCTACTGGAACTTGTACGAGGGGACCACCTGGACAAACTATGGCTCTTGGTGATGACCTACCTGGTCTACGGGAACTTGGTGCGAGATGTCCACCTGGTCTCACTGGAATCTTGGTGATGGGTCCACCTGGTCTCTATACACTGCATCTTGGTGATGGGTCCACCAGGTCAACTGGAGCTTGTGAGGAGGGACCACCTGGTCTATACTGAGCTTGGTGACAGGCGGACTCTCACCTGCTCACTGGAACTTAGGACAGTGCTGGGTGCCACCTGGTATAACTGTGAACATGGCGTGAGTATCTAGGACCACCTGGTCTACTGGAACATGGTGAAGGGTCCACCGCTCTAACTGGCACACATAGTGAGGGTCCACCTGGTCTACTGAACATTGATGAGAGGGACCGCCATGGTCTACTGCAGAACATGGCTGAAGGGTCCAACCTGGTCAACTGGAACAAGGCAGAGGACGGTCCCACCTGCGTTACTGGACAACATGGTGAGGGGACCCAACACTGGTACCTACTGGAGATGGTCGAGGGGGACCACCTGGTCTACTGAACATGGTGAGCTACAGGCAGTCCACCTGGTCCTACTGGCACATGGTGGAGGGGACCACTCACTCAGCTCTCACTGGCAACTTGGTGAGGGGTCCACCTAGTCTACTGGAAACATGGTGATAGGGACCACCTGTCTACTGGAACATGGTTCGAGGAGACCACCTGGTCTACTGGAGCTTGGAGTGAGGGACCCACCTGGTCTACTGGAACTTGGTGAGGGGGACCACCAGGTCTACTGGACATAGTTGCTGGAGAGGGGTCCACCTGGTCTAACTGGAACATGATGAGAGGGACCACCTGGTCTACTGGAACATGGTGAGCCTGGAACCACCTATGACTGTTGCACCTCTCCTGCCATACGGTTTATAAGCTCCTTCTCCGCACGTATGCCGTATTCTATTCAAGATTGATGGACTGACCACATCGATTCAAGGTTGAGGGACTGATTACCTCATTCTCCTCCTGTTCTTCAAGATTCTCCATTGTATGGACTGATGAAGCCACTGTGTGGCGAAACGTTTCCGCAATAAAGATACCCAAGAGTTGCACATGTGTCTAATTTATCAACATGTCGGTTCTCTGAACCATTCATCTACAAACGAAGTGTAACGATAATTTATCTACCAATTTGCTGCAGGACTCTAGTTCGACTCACGTGCCTTCAGCACTCTGTGTAGAGGGAGCATGGACACAGGGGTCATCCCACACTCATTAAAAACAACAGACATAGCCCCACTCCACAAAGGGTACAGTAAAGCAAAGGCAAAGAACTACAGACCGATAGCACTAACATCCCATATCATAAAAATCTTTGAAAGGGTCCTAAGAAGCAAGATCGCCAACCACCTACATACCCATCAGTTACACAACCCAGGGCAACATGGGTTTAGAGCAGGTCGCTCCTGCTTGTCCCAGCTACTGAACCACTATGACAAGGTCCTGGATGCTATAGAGGATAAACAAAATGCAGATGTATACACAGACTTTGCAAAAGCCTTCAACAAGTGCGACCATAGTGTAATAGCACACAGAGTGAGTGATAAAGGAATAACAGTTCAAGTTGGTCGACGTATCTATAACTTCCTAACAAACAGAATACAAAGAGTACTAGTAAACAGAGTAAAGTCTGAGGCGGCTACTGTGAAAAGCTCTATTCCACAAGGCACAGTACTCGCTCCCATCCTATTCCTCATCCTCATATCTGACATAGAGATGATGGTCTTAGCTCCGTGTCTTCCTTTGCGGATGACATCCGAATTGCCATTACAGTGACCTCCATCGAAGACACCGCGAGACTCCAAGTGGACATCAACCAAATTTTCAGATGGACCACTCAAAACAATATTAAGTTCAATGAAGAGAAATTTCAACTACTCAGATACGGAAAATTTGAGGAAATTAAAACTATATCAGGGTATGTAGATGAATGGTTCACAGAACCGACATGTTGATAAATTAGACACATGTGCAACTCTTGGGCATCTTTATTAAGGAAACGTTTCGCCACACAGTGGCTTCATCAGTCCATACACAGGAGAAACTTGAAGAACAGGAGGAGAATGAGGTAATCAGTCCCTCAACCTTGAGTCGATGTGGTTAGTCCATCAATCTTGAATAGAATACGGCATTCATCTACAATTCTGTCAGACACTGCAACTTCTTGGGATCTTAATACTTGGGAATTCTTCGCTTGCCTAACCCTTGGGCACGACCTTGGGCACGACCTACTTCCACATTGGACAAATGTGACACCACCTACGACTGCTGCACCTCTCCTGCCATACGGTTTATAAGCTGCTTCTCCGCTCATATGCCGTATTCTATTCAAGATTGATGGACTGACCACATCGACTCAAGGTTGAGGGACTGATTACCTCATTCTCCTCCTGTTCTTCAAGTTTCTCCTGTGTATGGACTGATGAAGCCACTGTGTGGCGAAACGTTTCCTTAATAAAGATACCCAAGAGTTGCATATGCGTCTAATTTATCATCTATATCAGGGTATACAACAAATTCTAACCATACAATAGAGTGAAAAAGTAATGTGAAGAACCTGGGAGTGATAATGTCAGAGGATCTCACCTTCAAAGAACACAACAATGTATCTAACACATCTGCTAGAAAAATGATAGGATGGATAATGAGAACCTTCAAAACTAGGGACGCAAAACCCTTGATGATTCTCTTCATATTGCTTGTTCTCCCTAGGCTGGAATGAATCCTAACTAGTCATAAGTTAAACTTTGAATTTGAATTTGAATTTGAATACTGCTGTACACTAACTGCCCCCTTCAAGGCAGGCAAAATTGCTGACCTGGAGAGTGTGCAAAGAACTTTCATAGCACAAATAAGTTCGATAAAGCACCTAAATTACTGGGAACGGTTGAAATCCCATGATTTGTATTCCCTGGAACACAGGCGAGAAAGATACCTGATAATATACTCTTGGAAAATCCTTGAGGGATTAATACCAAACTTGCACACAAAAATCATTCCTATGAAGCAAAAGACTCGGCAGGAGATGCAACATTTCCCCATTGAAAAGCAGAAGGCGCCACAAATACACTGAGAGACAATACAATAAGTGTCAGGGGTCCAAGACTGTTCAACTGCCTCCAAGCATACATAAGAGGAATTACCAACAGACCCCTGGCTGTCTTCAAGAAGGCACTGGACAAGCACTTAAAGTCAGTACCTGACCGGCCAGGCTGTGGTTCGTACGTCGGTTTACATGTGGCCAGCAGTAACTGATTGGTTGATCAGACTTTGATCCACCATGAGGTCTTGTCTCAGACAGGCCCGTGGGGGCGTTCACCCCCGGAACTCTCTCCAGGTATACTCCAGGTAGTGATGGTACGTTAACTATGTCTTGTGGATCTTCACCCGGCACTAACAGAGCACTGTCGTCTGCGTACAACTGCAGCTTACACTTGACACTGATAGGCATGTCAAGATAAGATAAAATTTAGTTCGGATTTTTAACCCCGAAGGGTTAGCCACCCAGGATAACCCAAGAAAGTCAGTGCGTCATCGAGGACTGTCTAACTTATTTCCATTGTGGTCCTTAATCTTGTCCCCCAGGATGCCACCCACACCAGTCGACTAACACCCAGGTACCTATTTGCTGCTAGGTGAACAGGACAACAGGTGTAAGGAAACGTGCCGAAATGTTTCCACCCGCCGGGAATCGAACCCGGGCCCTCCGTGTGTGAAGCGGGAGCTTTAGCCACCAGGCAACGCTAGCGGTTTGTAGTTCTTAGATATTGCTTTACTGCCCCTTTTTTGTAGAGTGGGAGTACGTTGTTATTAACAGCTGTGGGATGACCCCTGTGTCCATGCGCCCTCTCCATAGAATACTAAAAGCTCGTGATAGGGGCATCTTGCAGTTCATGATGAACACGGAGTCCATGAGTCTGGGCCTGAGGCAGAGTGCATGGCCATGTCATTTATTGTCTTTTCTAAGTCTTGTCATCAGTCTCAGTCATAGAGAATTCATCGAATATTGCTGTTGATACTTATAAAATGTTATTAAAAGAAATCTGGATTACCACTTACCATTTATGTCGTAGGTGAAACACACTTCAACGCCTACCTGACAAATAGAATCTAACTGGCCAGTTGCATTCCCAACGACTCTTGTCTCCTTATTTCTCACTATACAGCCTTATTATGGCTAATTTTCACCTTATTTGTCCATATTTCATTGCAGAAGCCATTAATTTATAATCGTTGATTCTGATACTTCCATTTTTGGCCTCGATGATGCCGGATTATTAGACGATTGTGACAACCAGTGCACAGATTAATGGCGTCTCTTTCTCACCTTGACTCACGAAATCGTAATGACACGATTGCAAACAAATCATACCACAGGTGGGGATAGAACTCGCGATCAGAGAGTTTTGAGACTCTCTGATCGCGGGTTCCATCTCCACCCGTGATATGGTTCTTTTTCTCTCCTTCCCCCCGTATCACTCCGCGGCCACTGCACACCCACCTTCACACAATTTCTTGAAGGGTTAAATCAGCATCACATTTTAATACACAATTATATTATTCATACTTACACATGGTGAATTTAAGAAAACTATAAAAAAATTCCACAGGAATACCTGGAGAGGGTTTCAGGGGTCAACGCCCCCCGGCCCGGTCTGTGACCAGTCTTCATGGTGTTGTTATTTGCTAGATGAGCTTCCAACGCTGTAGAGATGTACTTTATAAGTTCACTGACAAAGGTTTATGCTTCTAGAACACAAGAAAATCACAATCCACGAAAACGTCGAAGTTCGCGGCAATATTAACTGTATGACAAGATAACAATATATAAAATACTGAGAGGAATTGACGAGATGGATAGAGACAGGATGTTCCAGAGATGGGACACAGCAACGAGGGGACACAGCTGGAAGTTGAAAACTCAGATGAGTCACAGGGTTGTTAGGAAGTATTTCTTCAGTCATAGAGTTGTCAGGAGGTGGAACAATCTGGGGAGTGATGTATTGGAGGCAGGATCCAAACAGAGCTGTAAGCAGGGAGTGGACCTAATAGAGACTAGCAAAGAAGTGGGGCCAGGAGCTGTGACTCGACCCATGCAACCACAAACAGGTTTGTAGAAATAGGCGAGTATACGCATACACACACAAAGTGGTTATGCTTTATTTACAGTGAGCAAAGTCATGGCATTGTTCCAGAATGGTTCGTAATTTACTACTGTGGATAAAACACTTTGACATATCTCAAGCATTTTTGAGTGAGGTGTCTCTAAATTCATTAATTTTATAACATTTCAGTAAATAATGACGCAAGGTGTGACAGTTGATCACCTGGCAAAGTTTACATTTGGTTTGATCTTCATCTGGTGGTGGTAACCTGCCAAAGATACTTGTAACCCAGCCGAGCCGGGCGGTAGTGACATCCAAGAGTCTGCTTATCTTGTTGGATGCACCATAGACATGTGGCTCCTCCTGCATGATGGAATGATAGATGGACTGACTTGTGTCAATCTCCCTAAATCTTAAGTCAATAAAATTCACTTGAAGTTCTTTTCTTATTATCAAACTGTTAACTGACAAGCCAAGAATATAATCTACCTCCTCTCTGAAAGCATATAACTTAGCCATTCCATCAGTTCTATCATGCATCTGATGACCAATGTGAGATGGAATCCACAGGTGCACTCCGACACAAATGTCTACAATCTTACCATACCTGTGTCTGGCTTCTGACATAAGTATGACACAATTTATGCTTAAGGAGTTTACAGCATTAATGGATGATAATCAGTTACAATTAGGGTGTCAACTTTAGATACATGGACGCATTTGAGTGCAAGGAGTATGGCAAACAGCTCTGTTAGAAGGGTAGAGGCCCAGTTATTGATGCCCGCTCCAATTTCTTTATGAAAGCCACCACTCTGACACCAGCAGCACTACCAGCTGCACCAGTAGATTGCTGAACACAAACACCAGCATAAACAATTTGTGAGAGTGTGCTGTGACTGAGTCATCAATACATTTTCAGGCATCCTGCTTGGCTTGATGCCGAAGCATTGGTTGGGATTTAAGAAGTTTTATGGGATCTCTGATGCTTGGAATATCAGATTCTTTCCTCCTATTTAGAATTTTGGCAGTACGATGGCATCCTAGAAAGACCCTCATTGCTTCCTTCAACAGCCCCATTTATCTGCTATAAGATAAGATGTTTTAAACTGTTTTAAGGTGAGACCATTTACAGTACTCAGATGAGGATGTATATGAATAACTCTGTTGAAGCCTAATAAGGGACTCCATCTAACCTAATAGCGAAGCTTTAATTCATATTTTTATTTGCAAATAGAACTCTTGTTCCCTTTTCTTTCATGGTCCATCTTTGGGCCATTCTGTATATGTGTACTCACATATGTGTGAGTGCTTGTACTTGTGTATGTATACTCATGTGTGTGTGTGTGTGTGTGTACGCTCACCTATTTGTGCGTGTGTGTGTACTCACCTAATTGTACTCACCTAATTGTGGTTGCAGGGGTCGAGACACAGCTCCTGGCCCCGCCTCTTCACTGATCGCTACTATGTCCTCTCTCTGCTTCCAGAGCTTTGCCATACCCCGTCTTAAAGCTATGTATGGTTACTGCCTCTACTACATCATTTGTTATGCTATTCCACTTCCTGACGACTCTATAACTGAAGAAATACTTCCTAACATCCCTATGACTCGTCCGAGTCTTCAGCTTCCAATTGTGACCCCTTGTTTCTGTGTCCCCTCTCCGGAACAACCTGTGTGTGTACTCACCTAATTGTGGTTGCAGGGGTCGAGACTCAGCTCCTGGCCGTGTGTGTGTGTGTGACCCAGCAATTAATATTTACACTAATAACTCATTACAGTTGTGCTTATTACTCTATAATTTGTTCATGATTGTAGCCATGTATAAACCTAAGTAACTTTACTTACAGGATTCATTACCTTTGTGACTTCATTACCTTTGTACCTAGTTCAGCTATCAAAACTTTTGGAGTCCAGTCCCCTGGACCCATTATGTACCTCTGTAATCTTTTGACTACCGCCCACAGGATGGGTATAGTTCAAATTCAAATTCAAAGTTTATTTTCTATGAAGATTACAATGTTGAATTTACAGAATTTGGTTGTTGTGTGGTTTACATGTAGTTAAATAATGATTACAGAGTGTACCACTAGAACGCCTAGCATGGCTAGGCATTTCGGGCAGACTTAGTTTAATTCTTTATTTTAAAATATTACAAATTATGAGGTAAGTTGGTATTATGGCTAAGTGACTAAATACTAGTTAGTGAGTTTAGCAATGTGAATGCTTTTGTTTTGGCACAGTACATAGTTTCAGTATTGGAGTATCATAGGATTCATTATTTTAAGATTGAGATTAATGTTTCTGTTTATGGTCAAATGGGTGAGTGAGTGTAAGTGTGAACCACCAGGTGGTATTCGTGTAGTTAGTTGATGGGGTTTATCAGGAGATAAGATGTTTTCTAATGGTAGTTTTGAAGGTGATGAATGTGTCTGCAGTTCTAGAGTTCTCAGGTAGGGTGTTCCAGATTTTAGGGCCTTTGACATACATTGAATTTTTGTAAAGGTTTAGTCGGACATGGGGAATGTCGTAGAGATGTTTGTGTCTGGTGTTATGCCTGTGGGTTCTGTCACAACTATCAAGAAAGCGTTTTAGGTCAAGGTTGATATTGGAGTTTAAGGTCCTGTAGATGTAGATTGCACAGTAGTAAGTGTGGATGTACTGAACAGGGAGTAAGTTTAGATCTATGAAGAGTGGGGTGGGGGGGGGGGTGTTGCCAGGGATGGGATTTAGTGATTATTCTTACTGCAGCTTTTTGTTGGGTTATTATTGGCTTTAGGTGTGTTGCTGCAGTTGATCCCCAAGCACAAATAGCATATGTGAGGTATGGATATATAAGTGAGTGGTATAGTGTGAGAAGGGCATTTTGCGGCACGTAGTATCGTATCTTGGAGAGGATCCCAACTGTTTTGGATACTTTTTTGGTTATGTGTTGGATATGGGTGCTGAAATTCAGGTTGTTGTCAAGGTATAGGCCTAGGAATTTGCCCTCAATATGTCTGGTAATTAGAGTGTTGTCGATCTTAATGTTAATTTGTGCATCTCCTGCTTTGCTACCAAACATAATATAGTAGGTTTTGTCAGTGTTAAGCGTAAGTTTATTGGCTGTCATCCAAGTCGATATTTTGATCAGTATGCATAATAAAGGTATTAAACAAACAAACCAGAACAAAATAGGACACAGTGTAAGTCGTCAGTGGCCTTTATAACCTCACAACAAGACAAGATACAGTGTAAGTCGTCAGTGGCCTTTATAACCTCACAACAACAACAACAAGACGAGGACAACATCTACCTCAGTGTTTATCATATAGGAAAACCAGTTTTCCTGCCACATTGGAGTGTTTTTCTCGTGTGTCACTGTAAGGTATGGCCCTGTGGCACTGCTAACAAGAAGCACAGTTGTGGCACTGCCCTGGCACTATCAACTAGGCCCCTGCTAGTTTATACCTGGAGTTTACCTGGAGAGAGTTCCGGGGGTCAACGCCCCCGCGGCCCGGTCTGTGACCAGGCCTCCTGGTGGATCAGAGCCTGATCAACCAGGCTGTTACTGTTGGCTGCATGCAAACCAACGTACGAGCCACAGCCCGGCTGGTCAGGTACCGACTTTAGGTGCTTGTCCAGTGCCAGCTGAAGACTGCCAGGGGTCTATTGGTAATCCCCCTTATGTATGCTGGGAGGCAGTTGAACAGTCTCGGGCCCCTGACACTTATTGTATGGTCTCTTAACGTGCTAGTGACACCCCTGCTTTTCATTGGGGGGATGTTGCAATCGTCTGCCAAGTCTTTTGCTTTCGTAGTGAGTGATTTTCGTGTGCAAGTTCGGTACTAGTCCCTCTAGGATTTTCCAGGTGTATATAATCATGTATCTCTCCTTCCTGCGTTCCAGGGAATACAGGTTTAGGAACCTCAAGCGCTCCCAGTAATTGAGGTGTTTTATCTCCGTTATGCGCGCCGTGAAGGTTCTCTGTACATTTTCTAGGTCGGCAATTTCACCTGCCTTGAAAGGTGCTGTTAGAGTGCAGCAATATTCCAGCCTAGATAGAACAAGTGACCTGAAGAGTGTCATCATGGGCTTGGCCTCCCTAGTTTTGAAGGTTCTCATTATCCATCCTGTCATTTTTCTAGCAGATGTGATTGATACAATGTTGTAGTCTTTGAAGGCGAGATCCTCCGACATGATCACTCCCAGGTCTTTGACGTTGGTGTTTCGCTCTATTTTGTGGCCAGAATTTGTTTTGTACTCTGATGAAGATTTAATTTCCTCGTGTTTACCATATCTGAGTAATTGAAATTTCTCATCGTTAAACTTCATATTGTTTTCTGCAGCCCACTGAAAGATTTGGTTGATGTCTGCCTGGAGCTTTGCAGTGTCTGCAATGGAAGACACTGTCATGCAGATTCGGGTGTCATCTGCAAAGGAAGACACGGTGCTGTGACTGACATCCTTGTCTATGTCAGATATGAGAATGAGGAACAAGATGGGAGCGAGTACTGTGCCTTGTGGAACAGAGCTTTTCACCGTAGCCGCCTCGGACTTTACTCTGTTGACGACTACTCTCTGTGTTCTGTTAGTGAGGAAATTATAGATCCATCGACCGACTTTTCCTGTTATTCCTTTAGCACGCATTTTGTGCGCTATTACGCCATGGTCACACTTGTCGAAGGCTTTTGCAAAGTCTGTATATATTACATCTGCATTCTTTTGTCTTCTAGTGCATTTAGGACCTTGTCGTAGTGATCCAATAGTTGAGACAGACAGGAGCGACCTGTTCTAAACCCATGTTGCCCTGGGTTGTGTAACTGATGGGTTTCAAGATGGGTGGTGATCTTGCTTCTTAGGACCCTTTCAAAGATTTTTATGATATGGGATGTTAGTGCTTTCGGTCTGTAGTTCTTTGCTGTTGCTTTACTGCCCCCTTTGTGGAGTGGGGCTATGTCTGTTGTTTTTAGTAACTGTGAGACGACCCCCGTGTCCATGCTCCCTCTCCATAGGATGGAAAAGGCTCGTGATAGGGGCTTCTTGCAGTTCTTGATGAACACGGAGTTCCATGAGTCTGGCCCTGGGGCAGAGTGCATGGGCATGTCATTTATCGCCTGTTTGAAGTCATTTGGCATCAGGATAACATCAGATAGGCTTCTTCTTTCTTTCAACACACCGGCCGTATCCCACCGAGGCGGGGTGGCCCAAAAGGAAAAACGAAAGTTTCTCCTTTTACATTTAGTAATATATACAGGAGAAGGGGTTACTAGCTCCTTGCTCCCGGCATTTTAGTCGCCTCTTACAACACGCATGGCTTACGGAGGAAGAATTCTGTTCCACTTCCCCATGGAGGTAAGAGGAAATAAACAAGAACAAGAACTAGAAAGAAAATAGAAGAAAACCCAAAGGGGTGTGTATATATATGCTTGTACATGTATGTGTAGTGTGACCTAAGTGTAAGTAGAAGTAGCAAGACATACCTGAAATCTTGCATGTGTATGAGGCAGATAAAAAAAAGACACCAGCAATCTTACCATCGTGTAAAACAATTACAGGCTTCAGCTTTACACTCACTTGGCAGGACGGTAGTACCTCCCTGGGCGGTTGCTGTCTACCAACCTACTACCTACACCAGATAGGCTTGTGTTAACCAAATTCTGTGGCTCTCTCATAAAAAATTCATTTTGATCTTCGACTCTCAGTCTGGTTAGCGGCTTGCTAAAAACTGAGTCATATTGGGACTTGAATAGCTCACTCATTTCCTTGCTGTCATCTGTGTAGGACCCATCTTGTTTAAGTAAGGGCCCAATACTGGATGTTGTTCTCGACTTTGATTTAGCATAGGAGAAGAAATACTTTGGGTTTCTTTCGATTTCATTTATGGCTTTTAGTTCTTCCCGCAATTCCTGACTCCTATAAGATTCCTTAGCTTAAGTTCGATGCTTGCTATTTCTCTGACCAGTGTCTCCCTACGCATTTCAGATATATTGACCTCTTTTAGCCGCTCTGTTTATCTTTTTCCGTCGCCTGTAAAGGGAGCGCCTGTCTCTTTCTATTTTACATCTACTCCTCCTTTTTCTTAGAGGAATAAGCCTTGTGCATACATCGAGTGCCACCAAGTTAATCTGTTCTAGGCATAAGTTGGGGTCTGTGTTGCTTAGTATATCTTCCCAGCTTATATCGGTTAGGACTTGGTTTACTTGGTCCCACTTTATGTTTTTGTTATTGAAGTTGAATTTGGTGAATGCTCCCTCATGACTAATCTCATTATGTCGGTCTGGGGCTCCGCGCATACATGTCTGAACCTCAATTATGTTGTGATCTGAGTATATTGTTTTTGATATGGTGACATTTCTTATCAGATCATCATTGTTAGTGAAGATGAGGTCTAGTGTATTCTCCAGTCTAGTAGGCTCTATTATTTGCTGGTTTAAATTGAATTTTGTGCAGAGAATTAAAAGCTCGTGTGAGTGTGAGTTTTTATCAGAGCTGCCTCCTGGTGTTATTACTGGCTTGCCTCTCCACCCCTTTAAATCATTATGGTCGTATTTATAACCATTTTTTATATGAGCACAGACAAGAAGGTTGGCACTTACGTACTGCCGTTAGGTGGAAAGGGGACGGGTAGCAGGCAGATAAGATTTTCTGCAGATTTTTAACCCCGGAGGGTTAGCCACCCAGGATAACCCAAGAAAGCCAGTGCGTCATCGAGGGCTGTCTAATTTATTTCCATTGGGGTCCTTAATCTTGTTCCCCAGGATGCGACCCACAACAGTCGACTAACCCCCAGGATGCGACCCACGCCAGTTGACTAACCCCCAGGATGCGACCCACACCAGTCCACTAACACCCAGGATGCGACCCACACCAGTCCACTAACACCCAGGTACCTATTTGCTGCTAGGTGAACAGGATAACAGGTGTAAGTAAACGCGTCGAAATATTTCCAACCGCCGGGAATCGAACCCGGGCCCTCCGTGTGTGAAATGGGAGTTTTAGCCATCGGGACACCCCACCAGGTGGCATTGGCGGCTCATCCGTAGGAGCTGCAGAGCTGCAGTCCCCCAGATGCTCGCTGCCAGACGTATGACTCTATCAGTCTTATGCTAAAATAATTTGCAACTGGCAAATACATTGCAGGAAAAGTCTGTTGCGTTATTTTCAATGTATTTGTAAACAATTTTTTTTGGTTGTTGTAGACACTTGATGGTAGACCACATGTAGACACTTGATGGTAGACCACATGTAGACACTTGATGGTAGACCACATGTAGACACTTGATGGTAGACCACATGTAGACACTTGATGGTAGACCACATGTAGACACTTGATGGTAGACCACATGTAGACACTTGATGGTAGACCACATGTAGACACTTGATGGTAGACCACATGTAGACACTTGATGGTAGACCACATGTAGACACTTGATGGTAGACCACATGTAGACACTTGATGGTAGACCACATGTAGACACTTGATGGTAGACCACATGTAGACACTTGATGGTAGACCACATGTAGACAGTTAATGGTAGTAAGTTTGTATATTTGGAAAACAGTCAATAAACTTACACTCAAACTTTATGTTTGGAAATAAAGCTAAAAATGTTCAGTTGAACATAATACTACAACCAATGATAGACAAAATGTTCAATTGAACATAATACTACAGCCAATGATAGACAAAATGTTCAGTTGAACATAATGCAACCAGTGGAAGACAAAATATTAATTTGAGCATATACATAAATATTTATGGAACATATACAGTGGACCCCCGCATAACGATTACCTCCGAATGCGACCAATTATGTAAGTGTATTTATGTAAGTGCGTTTGTACGTGTATGTTTGGGGGTCTGAAATGGACTAATCTACTTCACAATATTCCTTATGTTAACAAATTCGATCAGTACTGGCACCTGAACATACTTCTGGAGTGAAAAAATATCGTTAACCGGGGGTCCACTGTACATAAATATGTATATATTCCATAAATATGTATATGTTCACTTGAACATATACATATTTATGGACACAATGATGGAGGAACATATACATATTTATGGACACAATGATGGAGAAATCTGAGGTTAACACCTTGAGAACAAATTACAATTGATCTCTCACTGAATTTTAATTTTTCAGAAAACAATGTCCGCTCTTGGAGGAGGATCAAGCGGAAGGCAGAGTCTGGCTCCGAGCCGCACCACCGTCTATGTCTCCAATTTGCCCTTCAGTCTCACTAACACAGATCTATATCAAATTTTTGAAAAGTTTGGAAAACTTGTTAGGTAATGTAAAATTATATATTTTTCCTGTGATTTTTTTTTTTGTGTTTTTGCAGGCCCCTGTTAAGATGTGATCTGTTGACACTTTTTCAGTTAAGATGTGATCTGTTTGACACTTTTTCAGTTAAGATGTGATCTGTTTGACACTTTTTCTGCTAAAATGTGATCTGTTGACACTTTTTCTGTTAAGTTGTGATCTGTTGACACTTAATTTTTTTGGGGCAAACATACCCTAATGCTCCGAAGGACTTGCGTGTAAATTTAGGGGAAAATAGGGCAATCTTTAGGATCTTTCAGCCCTGCCTTCTGGCCAACCTACAGGCATGACCATTGTTTTAAAGGGAGGCCTAGTCTCTTAATGTAATAAACAACCTCCCCACGCTGTTGTGCAGCGCTGTATGACCTTAGTGGGTTCAATGCTTCTTTTTTATTATTATAATAATAAACCCACACTGTCGTGTATGTGCATGACTCTCATACCATTCTCTTTTGTGTTAGTGTGACTTTGTAAATGGTCCAAGACTAACCGAAACGTCGTCATAAGCCTCTCTCTCCCATATGCGGGTTATTTGTGTGTTGTTCCAGTCATTGTATTGTGACTTTTTCTTCATTCCATACTCAGTCATGTTAGTAAAATGATTTTTTAAATTTTTTTCGTCAGTGCATCTTGTCTCTGGATAATAACCATGGCACCCATGAGGAATGCCACGATGTTGAGAATGCCAAGATGAAGCATACTCTTACCTTGAAAGTCTGTGTTTTGAGAGAAACTGGGACCTTAGATATGTGTAAAAGTGGAGTACATGTGATGGAGATGGCACGAGCCACTCCCCTGAACGAAGTACAGCTCTCCTCACTTAGCGACGTACTCATTTACCGATGCCTCGGACTTATGATGGGCTCTCTGACCAGTATTTATACCTAAATAATGTATATTAGAGCTGATTTCCTCTGTTCTGTTTATTTCAATATACAGTATACTACTGTATTAACATTTAAAAATATGCCAGAAATGTTATAAATGGTGCATAGATGACATTAAAACAATATCATAGATGGTTGACACAAACCTACTGCCATTATAGTATGCTCCTCACTTAGCGACGAATTTGTTTAACAACCTGGTCTTAGGAACGGAACTCCATCGTTAAGTGAGGAGAGGCTGTATTAGTACATTTAACCCTTTGACTGTTTCAGGCCCCTCTCTGAAACTCATTCTATGTCGCTCAATTTTTAAAAAAAAAAAATATTTTTTCTTATGAAATGATAGAGAATCTTTTCCCGATGGTAATGACACCAAAAGTTCGAAATTTGGTCGAAAACTCATGGAATTATGCTCCCGCGAAGTTAGCGGTCTCGGCGACATATGCGTATCGGCGATTTCGCCGACTTTGAGCCCTATTTTCAGCCAATTCCATTGTTCCAGTTGACCAAACTCATAGCTATTTCTTTTGAACTCCATTTTATATATCAGCTGAGTACAATAAACCTCCCATTTACTAATTTGGACTACCCAATATGGTGGTCAGAAATTGGCAATTTGGCCAATTTCACGCAAACTAAAAAAGATGCCAATTTCAAAATAGGGTCCAGAATAAACAAGGTAGACATTCGTGGCACTAAAATAACATATGCTCTGTTCATTAGTCACATCTCTAGGCCCCTCTTATATTATTATTGCTTTTTATTTTGATTTTTTATTCATACAAAAAAATACAAAATTTACTGTTATGCAGACTACTGCATTATTGTAAAAATGGTATAAATAATATCAGTGCACTAGTGAAAGAATATTAGACTCCCCAGTTGACATGTATTGGACGTGTGGTGTGATTTATTTACTCCTGAACATTGGTAAAAATCGAACATTTCCGCTACTTTGAGCTCAGTTTCAAGGTCGTTTTCATCGTCAAAGTAATGAAAATCATCTCTATATCTGTAATATGTTTTCCATTTTATCACCTAAGACCATGAAAACGCGAATACAATGATAAATACTATACGAAAATACACCTCAAAGTCGGCTTTTTATTCCAAAAAAACGATCAGAGTTTTTTTTTTCTCATTACGCAATGTGTGCTGCAGGATTTTTTTTATGTGGTGCACACTGACCACACAGACCCATTCTCTCACATGTGGGCCTACCAGCTTTCTCCCGCTTGATTTGAAGCCGCTAGAATTATTGAGTATATATACGTCAGAAACATTGGCTCGTAAGACGTATTTATACGTCGAAAACAGTCAAAGGGTTAAAAGGAATGACAAAATATTAGAACTTGTGCAACAAATAACCCAGGTTGTGACCTCCTGAAAGGAATGTCAAAAGATCAGAACTGCTAAATATGACAGAAGAATTTTTGAATGAGTGGACTAAGCAGAAAATCATGAAAAGTGCACCACTTAATTTCATCATAACAAACAGTAAAGCCCTTGAGTAGTATAAAAGCTGTTCCTGGAATTGCTGGGAAGTTGCATGCGGAGACTTGTACACAACCACAATGACGAGGTTTTGGTTTTCGATCTTTAACCCTTTCAGGGTTTCTGACGTACCAGTACGGCTTACACACCAGGGTTATTGGCGTACAGTAGAACCTCAAAATTCGAACGTATCGCTTATCGAACTCTTCGAAAGTAGAACCCTTTTTTCGAACCAACTTTGTCTCTATTATTGAACTCGCCCCTATTTTCGAACCGCCGGGTACCGAACCTGTCCGGCACCCCACTTTGTCCGCGTCCCCACGCAGGCACCGTGAGCCAGTCTGGTTTTGTTGATGCTTGAGTGAACACTAACCTGCACTCTCATTCAAACATTTTATGATTATTTCATAGATGTGAAGAAGGAAATAATACAGAAGTGGAATGATGTCCAAGTGGAATGATGTCCAAATGTTTGTGGAGAGGTGCCACCCTGAGCAAGCTGAAACAAGCCATCTTTGCAACAAGTTCAGTGACAGAACCATGTCCCATTTTAGGGAAATCTTAAAGAGGCACCAGAAACAGAGGACTGTGGACAGTTATTTTGTGAGACTGGGGTCCAATGACTCTCAAGCTGGTCCTAGTGGCATTAAAAGACAGAGAAGGGAAGTAACCCCAGAGAGGGCTTTGATACCTAAAGTCCTTATGGAGGGGGATTCTCCTTCCATTCACTAACCCCAACTCCCTCTCTCCTCCTCCCTATCTTCCAGATGCCATCACCAGTCTTCAATAAAGGTAAATAAAATGTTATTTTATATGTTATTTAAATTTATTAATACATAATTGAACACTATTTGTTGTATGTAAAACTATAATTAATCTCTATAAAATGTATTTTTTTGTGAATATTTTTGGGTTTCTGGAACGGATTAATTGTATTTCCCTTATTTTATATGGGAAATATTGCTTCGCTTTTCAGACTTTTTGAATTTAGAACTAACTCCTGGAATGGATTAAGTTCGATATTTAAATTTCCACTGTACTAGTATGCTAAATTCTAGCGCCTTCATATCTACCGAGAGAAAGCTGGTAGGCCTACATGTGAAAGAATGGGTCTATGTGGTCATTGTGCACAGTATAAAAAAAATCCTGCAGCACACAGTGCGTAATGAGAAAAAAAAAACTTTGACCGTGTTTTTGGTTTAAAACAGCGACTTTGCATTGCATTTTTGTATGGTGTTTATGGTTGTATTCTAGTTTTCCTGGTCTCATTTTATAGAATGGAAGACATATTACAGAAATTGAGATGATTTTGATTGGTTTCACAATGAAAAGTACCTTGAAATTGAGCTCAAAGTAGCAGAAATGTTCAATTTTTGCCAAAGTTCAAAAGTAAACAAATCATGCCACGTGTCCAATGCACGTCAACTGGTGAGTCTAATATTCTTTCACAAGTGTGCTGATATTATTTATACCATTTCTACACTAATGCAGTAGTCTGCATAACAGTAAATCTTTTTTTTTTTTTTGTGAGAATAAAAATTCAAAGTGGAAAGCAAAAGAAATGTAACAGGGGCCTGGGGACGTGACTAATGAACAGAGGAAATGTTATTTTAGTACTAGGAATATCTTTCTTGTTTATTCTGGACCCTATTTGGAAATTGGCATCTTTTGAAATTTGTGTGAAATTGGCAAAATTGCTAAATTCTGACCACTGTATTGGATAGTTGAAATCAGTAAATTGGTGGTTTCTTGTACTCATTCGATAGAAAAAATGGAGTTCTAGCGAAATAGTTATGATTTTTGTCGACTAGTACACTGGAATTGGCCGAAAATAGGGCTCAAAGTGAGCAAAATTGCCGATGTGTAAACATCGTTGAGACCGCTAATTTTTTTTTTTTTCTTGAAATTTGTGGGACCCTCAGAACAAGTCTCTGAGAGGGCGTGTGGACCTTGAAAGGGTTAACCCTCCTCACAAACTCCTCCTTGATAACTTCAACAGAATACACAGGCATAACACAAGGCACAAAACACTCTTTAATATCCCTCGTGTCCATCTCTTCCTATGCAAATATGCTATGCATATAAAGGGTCCAAAGATCAGGAATTCATTGCCTGAACATACAAAAGGGTCCCTGTCTGAAAATCAATTTAAGGCTTTACTTAGAAATCACTTCATCACACAAAATTAACCAAACAAACGCTATGCTTTATTACCTACCAGCAAGTCAAAAAAATTTCTAAATAATTTACAATTGTTCAGTTATTTAAGCTTTACTTCAAACTTAAAAATTGTTTCTATTTCACTATTGTAAATTGTGCTCAATTGTAATACTGTAATTTTTTATGTACCTCATCTCAACTATAAATTTAATTACTGCAAACTACTAGCTACATATCTGTTGTAATAAGAAAAATGATGTATAATTAAAATCTACTACCCTCAGTATTTCTAGTATTAAGTAGTGTGTAAACATTAGGTTTAGTCTGCCCGAAATGCTCTGGCATGATAGTGGCTTTCTTTGTACCTAATTCAAAATTGTAATCACACATTGTAAACATTGCAAAGAAATAAAATCTATATCTTTACCTTTACAACCATGTTGCTACACCACTATGCTTAGTTCATTGCTTCACTATGCACTCATTTATAGTTATATGTCATTAAGGTTGACTTTATGGCTGCTTACTCCATAATTTTCAACTTTTGAGGAGAAGGATGTTGTGGTCTATTGTTTCAGTAGCTTTTCTTAGGTCAGTAAAGAGGCCTATTGGACATATATTTTTGGGAATGTGTTGATAGAATTAAGCATTCTGATTATTGCATCATTTGTTAAGAATACAGGAGGGCTCCGCTTATACAGCAGGTTAGGTTCCTGGCTACTGCTGTAAAGTCGCTGTAAAGTGAGACAGACTTTTTTTCATGTTTACACTATCATATATTAAGTGAACAATAGAGCTAGGCCACAAAAATGCATATACAGTACACACATTACTTACCTTAAAATATTTTCATCCTTAGTTTATAGTGAGTGGTGAATATATGCGTTGTAAGAAGTCTAAATAAATGAAGAATGGGTATAATTGAAAACCGCTGTATTAGTGAAACACTGTAAAACAAAGAGCTGTAAAGCGAAACACTGTAAAACTAAGAGCTGTAAAGTGAAACACTGTAAAACAAAGAGCTGTAAAGCGAAACACTGTAAAACAAAGAGCTGTAAAGCGAAACACTATAAAACTAAGAGCTATAAAGCACTATAAAGCTGTAAAGCAAAACACTGTAAAATGAAGAGCTGTGAAGTGAAACACTGTAAAACAAAACACTGTAAAGCAAAGCACTGTCAAGCGGGGCCCTCCTGTATTATGTTTTGTTATGAGTTAATTCGTTTGCTTGTGTAGTATGTGTTTGTTCATTACCGAGTTAATCTACAAGTATTACTGCACTTTACTGTACTTCAGAGTGACAGTACTGAGAGATAAGAGCACTAGAAAGAGCCGTGGTGTTGCCTTCATGTTGTACCTGACGCGTGATGATGCTCAAGCGTGTGTGAGAGGGACAGATGGCTGTGAAATGTTTGGTCGCACCTTGAAGGCCAGCATTGCCAAGGACAATGGACGAGCTCCTGAATTTATCAGAAGACGAGAGTATCCTGATAAGTCTAGGTAAGCTATTATCAGTCAAGTTTGTAAATTTTTGACTAATGCTTTATTTAAATTTAATCATTTAAGAGTTTGTTAAATAAATGTGGTGGTCCTAAGTGAGGTTTTTATTGCAGCAATTTAATTAACATTACATGCAAGTCCGGGTTATCGAAACCAAGATAGTGTTAGCTTTGATGCACAGTAGAACCCTGGTATCCATAGATTTGGTTTCCCATGGTTTCAATTATCTGTGGTTTTTCATAGCCTGAAAATAATCCTTCATTTTGCTTAATAATGACACCAAAAAACAAAAGTAGTGATGGTAACAGTTCTTTAAAGCCTCAGAAAACTGTGAAGTGCTTCCCATTAGTGAAAGAGTGATAATTCTTGACTTAGTGTAATTTATCAGTCCTTTCGAGGTGTGTGCCGTGATGAGCTCAGCTTACTCAGATTAGCAGTGAGTGGTAAATTTTGGCCTACATATAAGAGAATGGGTCTGTGTGGTGAGTGTGCACCGTATAAAAGAATCCTGCTTTATGTAGTGTATGATTGGAAAAAAACTGACTGTTTATTTGGTTTAAAATGGCGAATTTGTGGTGTATTTTTGTATCGGTTTTATATTCTCGGTTCCTTGGTCTCATTTGATAGAATTGAAGATATATTACAGAAATAGTGATGATTTTGATTTGTTTCAGGAATGAAAGTAGTGTGAAATTGAGCTCAAAGTAACAGAAATGTTGAGCTTTTGCCAATATAGTAGTCCCCCCAAATTCACGGGGTTACGTTCCAAGGCCACCTGTGAAATTGAAAAAAATCGCAGATTCTGGACGCGGTTAAAAAAATACCTATTTTTATAGTTTAAATCCTAAATATACCCCCAAAACACTTTAATTTAATTTCAAACTCGGCTTCATACATCACCCTTAAAAAAAAAAAGAAGAATAAAGATAAACCCATATACAGTACTGTAGTATGTCTCCTGCAGTGCTAGAATGTAAAATACTGATGTTACTCCCATATGTATTGTAATTCATGCAAGCCCATTTTCTTTGGTATACTGTAATTCATGCAACCCTGTTTTCTTTGGTATACGTACAGTAAATATATGGTAATACAGTGGACCCCCGGTATTCGATATTAATCCGTTCCTGAGAGCTCATCGAATACCGAAAATATCGAAAAGCGAATCAATTTTCCCCATAAGAAATAATGGAAATCAAATTAATCCATGCAAGACCCCCAAAAGTATGAAAAAAAATATTTTACCACATGAAATATTAAGTTTAATACAATAGAATAATTACAATAACAACAATAACAATAGAATAATAACAATAGAACAATTGACACTTGCCTTTAATGAAGATCTGGTGATGATTGATGGGATGGGAGGAGGGAAGAGTGTGGATGGTGTTAGTGTTTAGAAGGGGAATCCCCTTCCATTAGGACTTGAGGTAGCAAGTCCTTTTCTGGAGTTACTTCCCTTCTTCTTTTAATGCCACTAGGACCAACTTGAGAGTCACTGGACCTCTGCGCACAACAAATCTGTCCATAGAGCTCTGTACCTCCCGTTCCTTTACGATTTGTCTAAAATGGGTCACAACATTGTCATTGTAGTAGTCACCAGCACTGCTTGCAATAGCTGTGTTAGGGTGATTTTCATCCATAAAGGTTTGCAGTTCAACCCACTGTGCACACATTTCCTTAATTTTTGAAGTAGGCACAATGGATTCCACAACTGGCATAGGCTTCTCAGGGTTAGCCCCAAACCCTTCAAAATCTTTCTTAATTTCCATACTAATTCTCACCCTTTTTACCACAGGGTTGGCACTAGAAGCTTTCTTGGGGCCCATGGTGACTTATTTTGCAGAAACAAGCACCAAAAACAGTGATAATATGGAATGTACTGAATGTATCCTGAGATGCGTGCACACTGGCTGGCTTGTAAACACTCGCACACACAGGGCAGTTCAGGCCACACATGGACACGTCGTACGAATCGCATCGAATACCGGGTTTTCGATCAGATTCCGAGGCAAAATTTTTGTGTTAAAATGCATCGAATACTGGATTTATTGAATACCGATGCCATCGAATACCGGGGGTCCACTGTAATTTAATTTAGAAAAAGTAGTAACTATTAAATTTTATATGCAAATTTTGCTCAATTTATGTTAATATTTATGTTACAAAATTATTAAATTATATTTTTTTAATATTTAGCATTAAAACACAAAAACTTGCATATTGCCACAAAAAAAGCCAAAAAAATTCTGCAGATTTACAGGGATTTTTGCAAACAGTTATTAGTTAGGTTCTAAGGAAAAATCTGTGAATCACTGAAGCGGCGAATTTGGAGCAGTGAATTCGCAGGGGTCAACTGTATTCCAGAGTACACAAATAACGTCACTCATCCAGTACCCGTCCAGCTGGCCAATATATAATATGCGTTCATGAATGTGCTGACATTATTTATACAATTACAGTGGACCCCCGCATAACGATTACCTCCGAATGCGACCAATTATGTAAGTGTATTTATGTAAGTGCGTTTGTACGTGTATGTTTGGGGGTCTGAAATGGACTAATCTACTTCACAATATTTCTTATGGGAACAAATTTGGTCAGTACTGGCACCTGAACATACTTCTGGAGTGAAAAAATATCGTTAACCGGGGGTCCACTGTATTACAATACAACCTCTCCTCACTTAGTGATGTATAGTCGTTTCCCGACGACTTGGACTTACAACGGGCTCTCTGACCAGTATGCATACCTAAATAATGTATATTAAGAGCTGATTTCTTCTATTCTGTTTATTACAATATACAGAACACTACTGTATAAACATTTAAAAATATACCAGAAATGTTATAAATGGTGCATAGATGACATTAAAACAATATCAAAGATGGGTGACACAAACCCACTACCATTATAGTATGCTCCTCACTTAGTGATGAATTTGTTTGCTGACGTAGTCTTAGGAACGGAACTCTGTCGTTAACCCTTTCAGGGTTTCCAATGTACTAGTACGGCTTACGAGCCAGGGTTATTGACGTACTAGTAAGCATAAATTCTAGCACCTTCAGATCAAGTGGGAAACAGCTGGTAGGCCTAGATGTGAGAGAGTGGGTCTGGGTGGTGAGTGTGCACGGTAGGAAAAAATTCTGGGATCCAGTGGTGCATTGTGGGAACGTCATTTTAGTACACCATGTCTCGCAGTAAGAAACTCCTCACTCCTCGGCGAATTGGGACACTTTTGTTCCCCAGTGACAGTGCTAATACAGATGGAAGTGCCAGTGAAGATGAGTTTCAAGGTTTTAATGAGGTTGTGATCAAAACTAATGACCATAATACCGGTAATAGTGAGGAAAACCCAGATGACCCTCAGCCTTCCACCTTTGATGCTGGGCTGTCTTCTTCATGTTCAGTTGTACCAGAACGAAAGAGGAAACTCTTACTTTCCCATATCCCGGACTCAGATGTGAACATTGGTGATGATAGTGATAGTGAATATGAACTACAAGCTCTTGAAAACAGTTTCAGTAGCGATAGTGAGTGGAATGTTCCCCAGTGAAGCGTCAGTATATACGACGGTACATGCAGTCTGGTAGTGTGCCATATGCTATTCCAAGAGGATGGAGTAAATCTCGGAGTACATCCCTTGGCTGTACAACACGAACAGATAGTGAAAATGATGGTGATAGTGTTGCAATTGGGATGAAAAATGTGCATGGTGGTGGTAGTGGTGGTGCCAGCCGTGAGGCACCAGCAGTGGGCCATGCTGCCACCCACGCTGCCACCCACACCACTGCCTCAGCTGATCTACAACAAAGGCCACCACACCAGCCTTCACAACCACAACCTCCACAACCACAAACTCCACAACCACAACCACCTGTCAATATCCAGTACCCACCAGCAGACCGCACCTGGGATTGGCAGGAAGCTGCCAATTTTGTTCCAAATCCCCATCAGTTTGATGAAAGCCAAAGTGGAATACGGCCATCTTGTACACTTGGGAACAATGCCAGTGAACTGGAATGTTTCGAGTTATTCTTTGACGGACCCCTGATGGAAATTATTGTCAGGGAAAGCAACAGATACTTCGAGTACACCATGGCAAACACAATACTGTCACCAAAATCACATCTACACCAGTGGAAGGAGACAACTGTGGCTGAGATGTATCTTTTCTTTGCCACAATAATGCTTATGCCACATGTGTATAAGCACACTGTGAAATCATACTGGTCAACAGACCGCCTGATTGCAACCCCAGGTTTCAGCGATATAATGCGAGTGAATCGATTTGTGCTACTATTACGTATGCTTCACTTCTCAGGCAAAACCAGACCTGACAGAAACGACAGGTTGTATAAGATTAGGAATGTGTTTGTGTATCTGAAAGAGAAATTCAATATGTACTTTCATCCCTTCAGGAAGCTTGTTATTGATGAGTCTTTGATTCTGTTCAAAGGAAGACTCTCATTCAAGCAGTATATACCAAGCAAGAGGAAATGCTTTGGTATAAAGTTATTTGTGCTTTGTGACTGCTACAGTGGTCTTGTATTGGATATTATTGTGTACACTGGAAGTTATACATTGCAAAATACCAGGAAGTTATTGGGCATCTCTGGTGATGTGGTTAGAACAATGATAGAACCATATCTTGGTAAGGGGCATATGTTGTATACTGATAACTGGTACACAAGCCCCTCACTCAGTGATTTTTTGCAAGTGAACATAACAGATGTGTGTGGCACAGTGTGTGTGCAAATCGTAAACATACGCCGAGGTTTGACGCTGGCACTCGTAGAGGTGAGGTGCAGGTGTTTGCTGCCATAGACATCATGGCATTTCGGTGGCATGACAAACAAGATGTCACACTGTTGTCATCAGTTCACCCTAATGAAATGACAAACACTGGCAGGCAGCATAGAGAGACCAATGAACCCATTCTATAACGTGCAGCTGTGATTAATTACACCTTCAATATGCGCTCAGTGGACAAATGTGACATGCAGATTGGGTTTGCTGATTGTGTTCGTAAGAGTTATAAGTGGTACATAAAACTCTTTTTCCATCTTCTGGACATTTCCATGCTCAATGCTTATAATATGTATAAGATGAGGACCAGGAACAAACCACCATATGGCAAATTTTGTTTGTCTGTCATCAGACAAATAGTATTCAGTTACCAAGGAGCAACACCTGCAATAGAAAACCACCCACTAAATTATCAACAACTACCTTCTCGTCTGAAGCATGGTGATCACTTCCTAATAAAACTGCCTGGTACTGCTTTCAAGAAAAAGGCTCAGAAGAGGTGTTACGTCTGTGCACATACAAAAAAATGCCCACAACAATGCGGAGACACTCGTTTTATGTGTGAGGAGTGTAAAACACCACTGTGCATGACGCCATGTTTCAAAGAGTTCCACAGGCTGCAGAACGTCTAGAAACATTCACTGTGACTGTATATATGTATAGAAAATATAGAAAAATAGTAATAAACAACATTTTATATTGTTTGTGTGTGTAAACAAGCTTTATAAACAATATAGTGACAACAGTGTTTGTGCAGTTATTGTGCAGTAAATAAAGAGAAAAAACTTACAAAATAGTGCAGTCGGCAATATGCCAGTCACTTTCTGCCAACTTCACGCCTCCATATCTCAGTAAGTATTGATGGTAAAAATTTTTTGTTTAGCCTATAATGTTTAGAAATATAAGCCCTATCTTTTCACAAGAAAAAATAATAATTTTTTTTTTTTTTTGAAAAATTTTCGACCCTGAGAACAAGTCTGGGAGAGGGCCTGTCGACCCTGAAAGGGTTAATTGAGTAGAGGCTGTAATTCAATAGTCTGCTTAACAGCAAATGTTCTATTTTTTTGTGTGAATAAAAATTCAAAAAGGAAAGCAAACATAATACAGTAGGGTCCCACTTATACGGCAGTTAGGTTCCAGGCTACTGCCGGAAAGCAGACATCTCCGGAAAGCAGAACTCCATTTGTTTCCACTTATAAATGTCAGATAATAAGTTTAACCCCTTAACTGTTCAAACGTTGATCTACATTCACTCTCCCAGTGCTTCAAATATTTTGAAAAAAGAAAAAAATCGTCATACTAACAACTGCTACTTGGCATAATGCTCTGACGAAAAAGACCCCACTGTATGGTAGGCCTTTGATTTTCATCACGGCATTATGCCAAGGTGCTCACCTGGCATAATGCTGTGACTAGCACTGTAACTCTGCTTGTTCACTGATCACCACTAGGTCACTCTCCCTGCTCCATGAGTTTTATCATACCTGGTCTAAAGCTATGTATGGTACCTACCTCCACTACCTCACTTTCCAGACTATTCCACTTCATGACAACTCTATGGCTGAAGTAGTACTTCCTAACATCCCTGTGACTCGTCCAAGTCGTCAGCTTCCAATTGTGACCCTTTGTTGCTGTGTCCCATCTCTGAAATATCCTGTCTCTGTCCACCTTGTCGATTCATCTAAGTACATATTTTATTTGTAGTTTTCATGTACCCCCTTCCCCCCTGTCCTCTAGTGTCTTCAGGTTGCATTCTCTTAACCTCTCCTCATAGGACATGTCCCTTAGCTCTGGGACTAGTCTCATTGCAGACCTCTGCACTTTCTCTAGTCTCTGATGTGCTTGGCTAGATGAGGTGGAGGTGTGTACTCCAATATGTGCCTGATGTACACTGTGTACAGGGTCCAAAGTGACTTCTTACTGAGATGTCAGAATGCTATTCTTAGGTTTGCTAGTTGCCCAGATGCTGCAGCAGTTATTTGGTTGATGTGTTCCTCAGATGTACTCGGTATTATGCACACTCCTTGAGGGAGGTTTATAGTCTTTGGCCCCCCTAGACTGTACTCTGTCTGCGGTCTTCTTTGCCCTACCTCGATCTTCATGACTTTGCACTTGGTGGGGTTGAACCACCAGGAGCCAGTTGTTGGACCAGACCTGCAGCCTGTCAAGATCCCTCTGCAGTCCTGCCTCATCCTCCTCTGATTGAATTCTCCTTATTAACTTCTCATCATCTGCAAACAGGGACACTTCTTAGTTTATTCCTTCTGTCATGTCGTTCACAAATACCAGGAACAGCACTGATCCTTGGACTGACCCCTGTGGAACCCCACTTGTCACAGGCGCCCACTCTGACGCCTCATCACATACCATGACTCGCTGCTGCCTTCTCGTCAGGTATTCTCTGGTGCTTGTGGCGATGGTGCTGTACAGGAAGGCCCTGCTTATACAGCAGGTTATATCCTTGGCTACTGCTGTTCAAGAGGGCTCCAATTATACAGCATGTTGAGTTTTGGGCAACTGCTGTACAGGAGGGCCCTGCTTTTACAGCAGGTTAGGTTCTGAGCTACTGCTGTACAGGAGGGCCTTGCTTGTACAGCAGGTTTGGTTCTGGGCTACTGCTGTACAGGAGGTCCTGCTTATACAGCAGGTTAGCTTCCTGGCTACTGCTGTACAGGAGGGCCCTGCTAATACAACAGATTGAGTTCTGGGCTACTGCTGTACAGGAGGTCCCTGCTTATACAGCAGGTTAGCTTCCTGCTACTGCTGTACAGGAGGGCCCTGCTAATACAACGATTGAGTTCTGGCTACTGCTGTACAGGAGGTTCCTGCTTATACAGCAGGTTAGCTTCTTGGCTACTGCTGTACAGGAGGGCCCTGCTAATACAACAGATTGAGTTCTGGGCTACTGCTGTACAGGAGGTTCCTGCTTATACAGCAGGTTAGCTTCTTGGTACTGCTGTACAGGAGGGCCCTGCTAATACAACAGATTGAGTTCTGGGCTACTGCTTACAGGAGGTTCCTGCTTATACAGCAGGTTAGTTCTTGGCTACTGCTGTACAGGAGGGCCCTGCTAATACAACAGATTGAGTTCTGGGCTACTGCTGTACAGGAGGTCCCTGCTTATACAGCAGGTTAGCTTCTTGGCTACTGCTGTACAGGAGGGCCCTGCTAATGCAACAGATTGAGTTCTGGTACTGCTGTACAGGAGGTCCCTGCTTATACAGCAGGTTAGCTTCTTGGGTACTGCTGTAAAAGGAGGGCCTGCTAATACAACAGATTGAGTCTGGTACTGCTGTACAGGAGGTCCCTGCTTATACAGCAGGTTAGCTTCTTGGCTACTGCTGTACAGGAGGGCCCTGCTAATACAACAGATTGAGTTCTGGGCTACTGCTGTACAGGAGGTCCCTGCTTATACAGCAGGTTAGCTTCTTGGCTACTGCTGTACAGGAGGGCCCTGCTAATACAACAGATTGAGTTCTGGGCTACTGCTGTAAAGTGAAAATCACTGTCAAGTGCAACACAGCCTCTTTTTACTTTCAAATACTTGTAGAAGCATGATAACATGTTTACACTATCATATATTAAGTGAGTAAATAGAGCTAGGTCAAAAAATGCATATATGCAGTACACACATTACTTACCTAAATTTTTTCGTCCTTAGCTTATAGTGAGTGGTAAATATATTTTTTTGTAGGAAGTCTGAAGAAGTGAAGAATGGGTATAGTTGAAAACTGCTGTAAAACAGTGCACTGTAAAGTGAAGAGCTGTGAAATGAAACACTGTAAAGTGAAGAGCTGTGAAATGAAACACTGTAAAGTGAAGAGCTGTGAAATGAAACACTGTGAAGTGAAGAGCTGTGAAATGAAACACTGTAAAGTGAAGAGCTGTGAAATGAAACACTGTAAAGTGAAGAGCTGTGAAATGAAACACTGTAAAGTGAAGAGCTGTAAAAGAAACACTAAAGTGAAATGCTCTTAAGTGAAGCACTCTAAAGTGGGGGACCCACCTCTATAGGGTTTGCTAACTATCCACAGTTTGAGGTATCCTTAATAGGTCTTGGAACATATCTCCTGTGGATACTGGGGCACTACTGTACAGTGGACCCCCGCATAACGATTACCTCCGAATGTGACCAATTATGTAAGTGTATTTATGTAAGTGCATTTGTACGTGTATGTTTGGGGGTCTGAAATGGACTAATCTACTTCACAATATTTCTTATGAGAACAAATTCGGTCAGTACTGGCACCTGAACATACTTCTGGAGTGAAAAAATATTGTTAACCGGGGGTCCACTGTATTTCCTATTCTTCTGCAGATGTTACGAGTGTGGCGAAGCCGGTCACTTAAGTTATTCTTGCCCGAAGAACATCCTGGGAGATAGAGAACCAGTGAAGAAAAAATCCAAAAAGAGAAGACAAGTATTTTCTGAGAGCTCACAAAAGTCCCGGAGATTACCAGGTAGTGATGACGATGGTGAGGAAGATGATGACGAGGTCAACTTTGAAGATGAATCTTTAAGTGAAGCTATAAGATATCAGGCAAGTTATCTTGTTTTATTAAGATACCATGTAAGTCAGTCATCTTATTCTTATAGAAGATACCAGGAAAGCATCTTAGTTTTAAGCTAAGATATGGGGTAAGTCATTTAGTTTTTACATATCATGAAATTCACCAGGTGCTTTTATATTATATTTGACTATTGTCCTGATAGCTGGCTTGGAGGGTTCTTAGTTCACTCTCTATACTACTTACATCTCCAACATTCTCTGTCTGCCCTGGCCTGGTATGCTTCTGTCTGCCCTGGCCTGGTATGCTTCTGTCTACCCTGGCCTGGTATGCTTCTGTCTACCCTGGCCTGGTATGCTACTGTGAGAATGTTACACTTCTGGAGGTGGGCAGTACAGTGCCTGTTCTCTGAAGGATGAGTGAGGATGTTACAGTTCTGGAGGTGAGAAGTACAGTGCCTGTTTCTGTAAGACAGGTATTGAATCAGTTTCAGTGAATGTGTTTCCTCTTTTGTATATGTCTCTGGGTGGCCATTGTGTTATATACCAATAATAATAATTAATAATAATAATATTCATAACAACAATAATAATACAATAGACCCTTGGTTTTTGTAATTAATCCATTCCAGAAGGTTGGCCTAAATCCAAAATGGCTGAAAACTGAAGTAATATTTCCCATAAGAAATAATGTAAATCCAGTTAATCTGTTTCAGACATCCAAAAATATTAACAAAAAATACATTTTTATAGAGAATAACTATAATTTTACATACAGAAAACAATGAGAAATAAATATAAATGACTAATTTTAATGATAAATGAACATTACATACCTTTATTGAAGACTCTTGTTGGTTAGAAGTATTTATTTGTAGTCCCAGAGGGACTACATCCCAGGCATATACCTACCAGCTACAAACAGTGTAGCTTACAGCCATATTATTCCCATCGACATATCATGTTCACTGAGTTTAATTGTTTCTAACAACTACCTATTATTGTAATTACAATAATATAATAATTACAATATAATAATTATAAATTTTTTTTTATTAATTTTTATTATACATTGGCCGTTTCCCACCAAAGTAGAGTGGCTTGAAAAAGAAAAACTTCCTCCATCACTCACTCCATAACTGTCTTGCCAGAGGTGCGCTTACACTACAGCTATTAAACTGCAACATTAACATCCCTCCTTCAGAGTGCAGACACTGTACTTCCCATCTCCAGTACTAAAGTCCAGTCTGCCGGTTTCCCTGAATCCCTTCATAAATATTACTTTGCTCACACTCCAACAGCATGTGGCATCCTAAAAAGCATTTGTCTCCATTTGCTCCTATCTAACATGCTCACACATGCTTGCTGGAAGTCCAAACCCCTCACACACAAACTCTCCTTTACCCCTCACTTATCCTTCAGAGTGCAGGCACTGTACTTCTCACCTCCAAGACTGTTACATCCCCACCTATCCTTCAGCATGCATACACTGTATTTCCTACCTTCATAAGTCATTCTATTTCCTTCCACCCTCTCTACATGTCCGAACACCTCAACAACCCCTCCTCAGCCCTCTGGATAATAGTTTTGGTAATCCCACACCCCCTCCTAATTTCCAAACTATGAATTTTCTGCACTATATTCACACCACACATTGCCCTCAGACATGACATCTCCACTGCCTCCAGGCTTCTCCTTGTTGCAACATTCACCACCCATGTTTCACACCCATATAAGAGTGTTGGTATAACTATACTTTCATACATTCTCCTCTTTGCTTCCATGGACAAGTTCAATTCTATGATTCACCTCATCTTTCATAGACTCATCTGCTGACACGTCCACTCCTAAATACTATCTGAATACATTCACCTCCTCCATATTCTCTCTCTTCAATCTGATGTGCAATCTTTTGTTACCTAATTTTTTTGTAATCCTCATCACCTCTACTCTTTCCTACTCTTTCTTCGTTTACATACCATACCAAACTCATCAACCAACTAATGCAACTCCACTTCAAAATCTCCCAAAATCACAGTGTCATCAGCCAAGAGCAACTGTGACAATCCCCATTTTGTGTTAGATTCGTTATCTTTTAACTTACACCTCTTGCCAGCACCCGAACATTCACTTCTCTTACAACCCCATCTACAAATATTGTATTGAACAACCATGGTGACGTCACACATCCTTGTCTGAGGCCTACTTTTCCTGATAATGATAATAGTTAATGTTTACAGCAAGAGTTGCACGAGGCCGAGGTGTTTACTAAGAGGTTGTCAAGTGGGGAACACTTGAAGAGTGAGCCAACAACAACAGCAACACACAGAACTAAGATCAAACAGTCGTCTTACTTCAGCGATGAAGAGGAATTTAGTGACAGCTAAATCACCTAAAACCATTACCCAAGTGCATACTCTAGTGACTTGCTTTTGCTGTTTATTGATCTATGTGTTGAACTGTATAATTCACTGATTTATTGTGTTAAATACTGAAATTGATTTATTACTGAATAAATTATGCATCTGATTTTTTTGTCATTATTAACCCGTAAACGGTCCAAACGTATATATACGTTTTTTCAACATTTGATAGTATGTAAAAAAAGATCTTTTTTTTTTTTGTTATGTTTGAAAATATGTAAAAAAGCGTAGATCTATTTTTGGAGCACTACACGTGAACATAGATCTGCTTGGATCGTTTACGGGTTAAGCTACATATTTTCCTTTTATCCAACAATTTGGAGAAACTTTAGATGTTTTGTTTGATCCTGGACCATTTACAAATCATAATTATTTCAGCATGATACAGTGTTTGTTCAGAGATAGGCGACATTTAGGCGAGCATGCAGAAAGCCCCTTGGTATACAAAGCATTTCAGACAAACTTAATCCTGTCTTAAGACTGAAAATACAATAGCTAATTGATTGCTTATATATACAGTATGTTCTCTAAGTATAGTAGGTCAAACAATAGTAGGTCGGTAGACAGCGGTTACTGTCTACCAACCTACTACCTTACAATTTTCAAGAGCTGTGTAAAGTAAGTCTAGCATTTTATGATTGTGTCGTTTGTGCTTTTGTTTCACCCAAAACGAAACTGGTTGAGAATATTTAGTGGTTTTATATAATTATTTACACATGTGCAACATCTGGGTATCTTTATTGTACATGTTTCACCATCCAGTGACTTTATCAATATAAATTCAAGGACATAATTATGTCCTTGTATTAATAAAGATACCTATATATTGCACGTGTCTAATTCTTCACTTGAACCTTTGTGTATCAGGTAAGATAAGATAAGATTTCGTTCGGATTTTTAACCCCGGAGGGTTAGCCACCCAGGATAACCCAAGAAAGTCAGTGCGTCATCGAGGACTGTCTAACTTATTTCCATTGGGGTCCTTAATCTTGTCCCCCAGGATGCGACCCACACCAGTCGACTAACACCCAGGTACCTATTTGCTGCTAGGTGAACAGGACAACAGGTGTAAGGAAACGTGTCGAAATGTTTCCACCCGCCGGGAATCGAACCCGGGCCCTCCATGTGTGAAGCGGAAGCTTTAGCCACCAGTAACTCTTGTTATTTTAAGTCATGTTAGGAAAGTGCTGGTTCTAGTGATTTGTTAAATAAAAATATAATGGTGGGTGGGCTGGGTTGGGGCAAGATAGAGGGATACTGGGAAGTTTCCATCTTAGTAATCACTCACTCATGTATTAGTGCTTGGAATTTTGTTAGCTAGACTTGATCCTGTGGTAGAGAAGAAATAATTTAACTTAATGTCTGTTTCAATAGGCTGGAGATGTAGGTTCTCGAGTTTCGTTAGAACAATATCTCTGGTTTTGGTCAACTGCTGAGAACCCAGGTTTTGAGAGAGAGTTTTCCACGTCTTTTTCTATATCTCTTGTTTCATTGAATCTCTTAGAATAATACCATTGTTAGGACTTCCTTACTAGTATGGTAAGGACTGATGTATGGCTTTTACTAAGTTCTTTAGTTATTAAACCCTGTCTATATTGTTCTTCAGAATGATGTTTCTTAGCTAAGGATCTAAGGATGCTATTTGTCAGTCATGGGCTACCTAGTCCCTTTGCACTGATCTGTGGGGACCAGAAGACATGATGGTCTATTGGAGAGGTGAAAAGATTGTCACAAGACATGATGGTCCAGTGGATAGGTGAGAAAAATGTCAGTAGACATGATGGTCCAGTAGTGAGGAGAATGTCAGAAGGGGAGAAGATGTCAGCAATGGTCAAAGGTGAGAAAAGGGGTTCTTGCAGCACATTCTGGTCCAGTAATGACGTGATGGTGAATATTAGTGGGATGGTTGTGTGTGTGTGATTCGGGGTGGTGAGTTGTGGTGTGATTGATGGTGATGTTGTTGTGTGTGTGTCACTCTACCCTAGTGGGAGACAATTAGTGATTTAAACATATTACTAATTTCGTATGTTTTTAGTTTTTTTAAATCACTGCAGTTTGTCATCCATCCAACTGCAGACCTTTCTACCTTTTATTCATTTGGGATGAATTTATCAACTGCAGTTACAGAAAAGTTCTTTAACAAGGGTAGATATAAACACGTTGAATCTATCATTGCCCAATCTTATTGACGGTGAAGTGAGCAAAAATCCAAAATCACCAATGTCTACTCTAGTGATCATAAAGAGAATTCTGCCTCCCCCATCCCCGGGAGACTTACTCAACCCAGTATCACCAGATTCTACTCAGTCTGCCATTATGGGAAACCTCTACTCAGTCTTTACCAAAAGATCGAAACCCACCATTGGTCAACAAAAGACTTCTCAGACAGAGCACCATAAAATCTGTGCCAGCCCTTTCATCAGCCACTCATTTGGAAGTCACAGACGTACTCAGCCCAGAAGTCACAATTCTGTTCATTTGGCAGTCACTAGATCTGTACCAACCCATAGTCCCCAATATCGCTTAGTCGGGCAGTCACCAAAGATTTGACTCACCCCAAGTCCCCAGATCACTACTCAGTCGGCAGTGATAAAAAGATCTGCTCGGCCCGATCACCAAAACTGTAGTCTGCCCATTAGTCACCACAAGATTGATCAGCCTGGTAGTCACCAAAATTCTTATCACAATTTGACTCACCCGTAGTCAGCAGATCTCTATTCAGTTGATAATCACCAAAAGATCTGTAAAAAGGCAGTATCACAGATGATGTGCCTCGTCCATTTCACAGATCCTACTCATCTGGCAGTCACCAAAAGAATACTCGGCCCATAGCCCCCAAAGATCTTGTCCATGCCGTAGTTGTTAAAAAAGTGATTCATTAAGTATTTTTATCCCCAAGAATACTGGTACCCCCCTCTAGCATTCACCCGTTTCTTTTTTTCGTAAAAGTTGTCAGAATAAAAATCAGGTCTAGGACCCCTTTTAATTGAGTGAAATTTAAATTTTGGGGTTTCAACTATGTGATAAACCAATAAATAAAGTTTTAGACCTTAAATACAAAGGTGGGCTAGGGGAGAAAAAGTATTAATAGTTTAGGATCAAGCTTCATATCTTTTCCATACCACGGGGTGGATTTGAACCCGCGGTCAAAGTCTCAAAATCCAGACCCTTGCGTTGCCCCTGGGCCAGCTAGCTTCAAAAAGATTCGTCCAACTAGGGGGTTTTTTCTACCCATAGGAAGGTTACATAGGGACCCCCCGTGTCCACAAATGCAAGTTTTACAGACAAAACTCTCGCTACAAAGGGGGTGACGAACTCTAGCCAATTTCCCCTAAAGCTGTCAACATGACTCACGAAATTGTAAGACACAAATTTCAAACAAACTACCACAGGTGGGATTTGAACCCGTGTCAAGGGGCCAAAACTCCGACCGTCGCTTTGCCACGGGCCCGCTAGCTTCAATATGATTCACCAACTAGGGGGTAAATTTTACACCATAGAAGGTAGCTAGGCACCCCTGTGTCCACAAATGCAAGTTTTTACAGACGAATCTCCCCCTAGCAGGCGTACGAAACCTACTCAAGTCCCCTCAAAGCCACAATATGACTCACGAAATTGTAATGACAAAAATCTTATTAACAGCTGGCCCATGGCTACGCGACGGTCTGGAGTTTTTAGACTCTCTGACCGCGGGTTCAAAACCGCCCAGGGATGGTTTGTTTGCAAACGTGGGCATTACGATTTTGTGAGTCAATTTTTATATATATATACAGGGACCCCCGCATAAAGATTACCCCCCCCAATGCAACCAATTATGAAGTGATTTATTAGTGGTTTGTAAAAGTTTAGTTTGGGGGGCTGAAATGGATAAAACTACTTCACAATATTTTCTTATGGGGAAAAAATTCGGGCAGTACTGGGGACCTAACATACTTCTGGGGTGAAAAAATTCGAAAACCGGGGGTCCCCCGTACATATTTATTTTAAATATATATAAAATAATATTATAATAATATATAATAATATATATATATACAGTGGACCCCCGCTTAACGATCCCCCCAAACGACCAATTATTAATGTATTTATGTAAATGCGTTTGTACTGTAGTTTTGGGGGTCTAAAAGGACAATCTACTTCACAAATTTCCTTTTTGGGAAAAAATTCGGTCAGTTTCGGCACCAAATACAACTGGAATGAAAAAAGTTCGTTAACCGGGGGTCCACTGTATAAGAAGGGGGTAGGGGAGTTTCAGTGGGGGGGAAAAAATGGGATTAAATCGATATCGAGAAGTTAGAGCAAAGGAAGGGGGGCAGTTTTAAAAAGATCGTTATGGAAGGAGAAAAGAAAATGAATGTTAAATTCAAGAATTATGTGGTTAAAGTAAAGGTTGGGTGCGAGAAAAAAAAGGGGGGGGGGGGAAGCGGGGGGGGTTTTTGGTTAATAATAAGGGTTTGACGTCATAAAGTCCAATTGGTGAGCAAAACAAGTGTCTATAGAGATCCATTCCCACAACATTTATATGTATACAACAGGGATAGTGGTGGTTGTGAAGATTTTAATATCCTTCATTATCTCATCAACCCATCCTGTGGGCAGTCGTCAAAAGATTAACTGGAAGCACAAATAAGTCTCAGGGAACTATATCCTCAATAATACAGTCTAATATTGAATATAGTACCTTGGGACTCTATATTACCTCTGACTTTACAGAGGTACATCATGTGTCCAGGTACTCAAATAAATACCTCAACGTTACAAGAGGAATCATATGGGTCCAGGACTGGCCACAAAGTTTTGAGAGCTGAGCACGGAGTTAAAGGTACTGGACGGTTACGTGTCCCATATCTGTTACAAACTGTAATGAGTTATGTATGCCAGACGTGAATTAGTCACTACCACAGGAGGAAATGCAATCACACCCCACAGAAACTCCCGCAGAAGGGCTCCAACCACGCCAATCCCAACGCAACTAGCAATCTAACCAGAACCCACACACTGTTTCCCTCTGCCCCAACGCCCCACATCAAAAAACCCTCACCCCAACCTTGCCCCCCCCAATGGTTTTATTCTGACCCTCCCCCTCATACACAAACCCCACCCACA